TGAACGTACAGTTTAAAAGCTTTGTTTGAGGTGTCATCAGGTATTACATTTGTTTCTGACCCATTTATGAGTTTTACTTCTGTAGAGAATAAAACCAACTGGCTGTCTGATAGCATTTAACTCATCAGCTGATTTGTGTAAAGGATCCTTAAACTCATTATTGTAAGCATTGGAAGGGCCAGGGGCATTGTTGGGCTGTGCTTAGGACATCAATTAGCCTTAATGGAGTGCTGCTCCAGAGAGTGCAGTCTTAAAATCCGCTGGTATAGCAGAACCTAGAAATTGGTATGTGAGAAGTCCTCCCTTTCTTCTGTTGCAGCCCAAATACTAAATTTCCTAACAGTTAGCTGTGTTGGCAATTTCATTCACAATAAAATCTCTAATAGCAGTATTCTGCTTTCAGACTCTGACAAAAGCTTCAGAACTCACAAAATATTACACACGCACACAATTTTGAACACAATTTCAAGGAATTCACAGGCTTCCAGTAAAGAACTTTTAAAAAATATATATTTTTATGACCTGGCCAGGCGTGGCTCAGCAGTTGAGCATTGACCTAGGATCCAGGGGATCGAGGTTCGATTCCCGACTGGGGCATATGCCTGGGTTGTGGGCTCAATCCCCAGTCGGGGGCAGGCAGGAGGCAGCCGATCAATGACTGTCCTATCACTGATGTTTCTATCTGTCTCGCCCCCTCTCTCTTCCTCTCTGAAATCCATAAAATATATATATATATATTTTTAAATATATCTTTATTGATTTCAGACAGAGGGGGAGAGAGAGAAACATCAATGATGAGAGAGTCATTGATCGGCTGCCTCCTGCACACCCCTTGCTGGGGATCAAGCCCGAAACCCGGATATGTGCCCTGACCGGGAATCGAACTACAGTCTCCTGGATCATGGGTCCATTCTCAAAAGCCAAGCCACAACAGGCGGGCAAGAGCTTTTGTTTTAGATTAGAGCAGTGGAAGTGTGAATACTGATTGATTAGCTAGTTCATAGTTTATTAGGAAGTTATAAGAAGTATTATTTATATCCATCTTATTTCCAAAAAGGAAAAGTAGTTTACAAAATATGGTCTGTATACCATGCATGAATTGAAAAATAAGAATTTAGAAAATCAGCTATAGGAAGAACAAAGATGGAGAAAAACAAGATAAGGCAAGAGTGCAGGTAATACCTAGAGACCTGGTAACAGTTCACATTCCTGGCCCAAAGAAAGACCAAGTATGACAAGAATATTTGACCTGCATTTTTATTTATTTTTATTTTATTTTTAATTTATTTTTAATTTTTTAAAAATTTACCTTTATTGTTGAAAGTATTACAGATATCCCCCTTTTTTCCCCCATTGATCCCCTACACCCTTCATCCCTTCCACCCCACAGGCCTTCACCACTCTGTTGTCTGTGTCAATGGGTTATGCATTTATGGGTATAAATTCTTTGGTTAATCTCTCCCCACCCATTCCCCCACCCCAGCCTTCCCACTGAGATTCATCAATCTGTTCCATGCCTCTGTGTCTCTGGATCTATTTTGTTCTTCAGTCTATTTTGTTTATTAGATCCCACATATGAGTGAGATCATGTAAACCTGAATCAGGAAGAATCAGAAAACCTGAATAGGCTCATAACAACTGATGAAATCCAAACAGCAATAAAAAAAAACTCCCAGCCCGGCTGGGCGTGGGTCAACTGTTGAGCATTGACCTAGGATCCAGTAGATCATTGTTCGATTCCCAGTCAGGTTACATGCCCTGGTTGTGGGCTCGATCCCAGGTTGGGGGCATGCAGGAGGCAACTGATTAATGACAGCTCTCTCATCATTGATGTTTCTATCTCTCTCTCCCTCTTCCTTCCTATCTCTGAAATCAGTAAGATATATTTTTTAAAAAACACACAAAAATTCCCAGAAAACAAAAGCCCTGATCAGGACAGCTTCACAGAGGAGCTTTCTAATTGTTTAATTTGTAGGGTTAGATAGTTCACTAAAAATTTTGCTTGCTTTTTGAGGTAGGCCTGTAGTGCCATGAACTTCCCTCTTAGGACTGCTTTCACTGTGTCACATAGATTTTGGATTGTAGTGTGTTCATTTTCATTTGTTTCCAGGAAGATTTTGATTTCTTTCTTGATCTTACTGGTAACCCATTCATTGTTTAATAACATGCTATTTAGCTTCCATGTGTTTGAATGTTTTTGAATGTTTTTGCTGTAGTTGATTTCTAATTTCATGCCATTGTGATCCGAGATGCTTGATATGATTTCACTCTTCTTGAACTTGAAGAGACTTGTTTTGTGTCCTAACATGTGGTCTATCTTTGAGCATGACCCATGTGCACTTGAGAGGAATGTCTGTTCTGCAGCTTTGGAGGGAAATGTTCTGTAAATATCAATTAAATCCATCTGATCTAGTGTACCATTTAGAGTCACTATTTCTGTGTTGACTTTTTGTCTGGAAGATCTATCCAGTCAAGTCAGTGGGGTGTTCAAGTCCACAACTATGACTGTATTGCTGTTGATCTCTCCCTTAAAGCCCTTAAGGTTATTATTGATAAGTCCTTATTTATTGCCATTTTAATTCTTTATGCCTATGTTTCTCTCTATATTTGTTCTTATTATTACAGCAGTGTCTTTAACATTTCTTGCAATGCTTCTATTTCTACTTCTAATCACAGCAGTCTCTTTAACATTTCCTACAATGCTGATTTGGTGGTGATAAATTCCTTTAGCCTTTTTTTTGTCTGGGAAGCTATTTATTTCACCATCTATTTTGAATGATAGCCTTGCTGGATAGAGTAGTCTTAGTTTCAGATCCTTGTTTTGCATTACCTTGAATGCTTCATGCCATTCCCTTCTGACCTGTAGAGTTTCTAATAAGAAGTCAGCTGACAGCCTTATGGGAGTTCCTTTGTAGGTAACAGATTGCTTTTCTCTTGCTGCCTGTAATATTCTCTCTTTGTCTTAAATTTTTGGCATTTTAATTATGATGTGTCTGGGTGTGAGCCTCTTTGAATTCTTGCTTGGGACTCTCTGTGCCTCCTGAACTTGTGTGACTTTTCCCTTCACCAGGTTAGGGAAGTTTTCTGCCATTATTTCTTCCAACAGGTTCTCTAACCCTTGCTTACTTTCAACCTCTTCTGGCACTCCTATGATGCGAATATTGTTACATTTCATATTGTCCCACAGGTCCCTTAGACTGTCCTGTTTTTTAATTGTTTTTTCTTTTTGTATCTCTGATTGGGTGATTTTTTTTCTACCCTGTTTTCTAATTTGCTGATCTGATCCTCAGCTTCCTCTAATCTACTGTTTATTCCTTCCAATGTATTCTTTGTTTCTGCTATGCCATTCTTCGTTTCTGACTGGTCATTTTTCATAGTTTCTGTGTCTTTTCTCATGCTGTTGAGCATCCTTACAGTCAGTATTCTGAACTCTATATCTGATAGATTGCTTATCTCCATTTCATTTAGCTCTTTTTCTAGAAACTTCTCTTGTTCTTTGATTTGGGACTTGTTTTTTTGTCTCTCCATTTTGGCTGTCTACTTGTGTTTGTTTCTATGTATTAAGTAGACCTGCTAGGAATCTCAGTCTTTTTGGAAGGTCTCTGGTGCAGGCTAATGTCAGACGCAGTTTGTGACTGGCCTTGTGTACCCTGTTTGGAGCTATCAACAACCCACGGCTTGAGGTCCCCTCTGTTGGGGCTGAGTAAGTTTGGGCAGTACCAAGATGCACAGCAAAGACTGCTTTTCCAAGACCCAGGTCCAGAAGCAGATCAGGCAGACACAAAGTACTCTGAGGTCTTCCTCTGCCTATAGGCTGATTAATCTGATTCTCGTAATGAGCCTCAGGATGTAGAAACTCCACTGGGTAGGGTGAGAGGTTTTCCAGTAGGGTGGGGCAATTGCTTCCCCCTCAGGCAAAAGCTACTTGGAAGGTAAATGTTTGCCTGTGAAAGATTTCCTCTGCACTTACGGGGAATGACTTGGCATGAATCCAGAGGGATCTCCTCTGAGCTGTATCTCCAGAGCCCACAACTCTAGATTCTCCTCACATAGCTCCATTCCACTCTGCCCTCCCTCTGCTGGAGCCCAAGTGAGTGGCTACACACAAAACTTTATGCTTTGGTTCTTTAAGTGGGTGCCTGCATTTCCAGCTGTCTCTCCCTGGCAGACTGAAACCCAGCTACTTTTCACAGCCAGATGTTATGTGGGCACCTCTCTCAGCTCTGGTGCTCTTGATTGGGAAGCCCAGCCTGGGGTTTAGGCTGCAGAGTCCTCAGTGGGGAACCCCCATAGCTGAGATATCCCTCCAGACCTTCAGCTGCTGCCTGTGGAGCCCAGCCAGCCCTCTTGTGCCTCCACACTTCCTACCAGTCTGTGTGGTCTCCACTTTTCCTCCTTGGTTACGAGGGTGCTCTCCAGCTTGTCTTTAGTTGCAGTCGATTATTCAGGATGGTTTTTCTATATTTTAGTTGTAATTCCAGTTTGGTCCCAGGAGAGTGTCTGTGTAGCTTCCACTCAGTCCACTGCCATCTTTAACCTCCCTGACCTGCATTTTTAGAATCTCCTGGGACCTTTCCCTGTATTTTTTTACTTCTTTATGTTGTGCTACTTATTTGTGCAAACTTTTTCTCTCGTCTTTTTCCTTTCCTGCTCTATTCTTCTTCCTTGTTTATTTCTTTTCCATTGACTTTCTTCATGTAGCCTTCTATCTTTCTTATCGTGCCCTCATTTGAACAATGTAACACCAGTGACTAAATATCTTATGTCCCCGTTTTTGTTTCTTAAATCAGTTTAGTTTAACTTTGCACTCCTTCCCCACCCCTAACCAGAATTACAGCCATGTGATCCATTATTGACTTATTCTGATTCACATTTTTCAGTTAACTTCATATTCTCCACTGTTGCTTTAAATTATGCTCCTGATTTTTATAGTGGACTTTTAATGCTAAATCAATATAAGACTATTTCAAGTGTTAATCTATTATTTTGCATTATTCCAGGGAGAAAATTTATAATTAAAAGAAGATGTTGATGTGATGAAAAATGGGATTTATGGTACTGTGCTGTGTTTCCTTATTATGTAGTTCATACTTCATAGAAGCTGTTATTTTATTGCTTTTGAATAAATTTTATATTTCAACATTTTTAAAGAAAGTTCTTCTAAAGCTTACTTATACTTTTTGTGAAAATTAATTCATTTTATTCATTTTTTGGTTTAAATTTGCTGCTTTCCTTATCTTTTGTGTTTGTTAAAATTGTTAAAATGCATAAGTACATTGAGTCATTTATATATATTTTTAATCAGTCTACTATCATATTGTTTATTTTTCTAGTAATACTTTATTTTTTAAATAAATAACATGAATTTAGAAGTCATTCTGCCACAGGTTTGTAATTGTACTAATAATGGCAGGCGTCTGTTGAATTTTTGACAAACCTTAACCTCTTCCTTGTAGCTTCCTTTCTCTTTCTTATTACAGGTATATTAATATTTATTATTCTGTTTGCCATTTTTCAGGCACTATTCTAGGCAGTTTACATTTGTTAACTCATTTAATCCACATCACAATCATGTGAAGTAGATACTGTTATTATTTCTGTTTTACAGGTAGAATTATATTACATAATGACACAAGTGTGGGTTATGGAGAAATTGATTTGTTGCAAGCATCAAGATATGAACTTTGGGTTAGTGACTCCGTTTACACATGGTTAGCTTTATGGTAGGATAAAAATAATGCTGCAAAATTAAGATGACATTTAAACATTTGAATTTACAAATCTCTCAAGAGTTCAGATTTGATATCTTGAGACCAAATATTTAATTCATAAGTGCATATAAATGATCCTTAGAAAATACTGCAGAGTTAATCTTTTCTAATAGTTCATCATTAAAGTTGTTAATATGTTGACAGTACTGTTTGAACAACACTAATACAGAATTTGGAATTATTTGTCAGATGTGGAATAAAATGTATTTTTTTTCTGCTACTTACTAGTGACTTAACCCTAACAATTAAATCTTCTTAGTCAGCACCCTTATTTCCCCTTTCCCCTGTATTTCTACCATGGGCCTTATAAGTCCTTATTCATGGACTAGTCAGTATTACTAAGTAGAGGCACAATGTGCAATTTCCAATCTGAGTTGGACTCAACAATTTTTTTTAATCCTCACCTGAGTATATGTTTGTATTGATTTTAGAGAGAGGAAGGGAGAAAAAGAGAGAGAAACGTTGATTGGTTGCCCCCCCCACACGCCCCCACCAGGGATCGAACCCGCATCCGAGGTATGGGCCCTGACTGGGAATCAAACCCACGACCCTTTTGGTGTACGGGATGACGTTTCAACCAACTGAGCCATCCAGCCAGGGCTCAACAATTTTTTTTAATTTTTTTAAGAAGAGAATAAACCTTGTAGGAAGGAATTGACTTTTCCTTTTTTTTTTTTTTTTTTAATATATCTTTATTGATTTCAGAGAGAGGAAGGGAGAGAGAGAGATAGAAACATCAATGATGAGAGAGTCATTGATGGGCTGCCTCCTGCACGCCCCCAACTGGGGATCGAGCCCCCAACCCAGGCATGTGCCCCACCCAGGAATCAAACTCCGATCTCCTGGATCCTAGGTCGATGCTCAACCACTGAGCCACTCCCAGCCGGGCTCAACAATTTTTGTAAACCTTAACCTCTTCCTATAGCTTCCTTTCTCTTTCTCATTACAGGTATATTAATATTTATTATTCCTTTCAAGCACCCCTTTACTGCATCTCCCACACTTTCAAGAGATAACTTAGCCACATACTTCACAGGAAATCTTCAGGTCAAATCTCCCTCAGTTTTCTTCATTTTCCTAGACCTTCCTATGTTAGTATGCATTGATATTTTCTTCCTTCCTATCTCATAAAGGCTTCTTTCCCTTTGACTAGCCTAAAACTTTATTCTATTAAGTAACCCACTTATTGGATACCTTTCATCCCAATCCTTTGACTGCTTCCATTCATATAAACATGTTCAAATCCCTTACCTTGCCTAAAAAACACCACCACCAAAATCCCCACCTTTATATTACCTACCCCTCAAGAAAATGCTGTCTCCTTGTAGTGCATGCTATTATTTTGTCTTTTCCACATCCCACTGGATTCATATAGTTGCAATAGGAATAGCCATTTATGCTCTAATCCATTAACCTCTATAATCACTGGCTATAATTGATTCACCCAGGATTAGACACTTAATATAAGTAGAGCCAGAGTCCTTTTTAAAGACTTTTGAAACTGGAACTGAAAAAAAGGATATATCAAACTCCATACATCTCTCTGTGGGCCTGAACTGTAAAATGCAAAGCTCCAGAGCTCTCGATGGCCATGTTTCCTACCATGGACCAAAGAAGCAAAGCAACCAGTCTGGAAAAAGGAGGAGAGACAATGGAGCAAACTTACAGAGAGGAACGAGAAACAGAATACTAATGATCCCCAGTTCCACATGTTTGGGAGACTCAGCCACACTACTGACCTTACATTCTGAGACACCACAATATTCTACAGTAAGCTGTTTACTTAAGCTAATTCAAATTGGATTTTTGTCACTTGCAAGCAAAAAAGCCCTAACCAATGTACTTTGTCTTTTCTCTTGCTAGCAAATATCATAGAAAAACTAGTCTATACTCCTGTTTTACTGTTTACTTCCCACTCAGTCCTTAACCTGATATAACCTGACTTTCACTCCTATTACTGTGTTGCCATACCTAGTGTCCTGTTTTCATTCTTTAATTTTTTGTAGCATTTGACATTGTTTCCTAGCTTTCCTTTGATATCTCTTTGACTCTAGAGCACTGCTAGTTCTTCCTGACTCTCCTTTTAAAAACAAAGAGCCAACCTTTACCTAATGCTTCCTATATACTAAACACTTTACAAATATTCATTTATTTAATCTTTACAACAACCTCATAAGGAAATATCTTGCAAAGAGGTCATGGAACACAGCACTATAGTATCACAGGGTGTAGTTTATTTAGGAAAAGCTTAACATGGAGAGGAGTAGGAGAGTACACATAATGCCCAGACTCTTATTCTATAGTTTAGGTCAATCATAGTCTGCATGCACAATGACCAAAATTGCAGTAGAGAGGAACCCTGCCTCCATAATATTCTCATATTTATTAGGTTGGGACGGGGCAGGGAATATCTGTGCAACTGTGCACCAGAAACTTCCTTGTAGGGTAAGTAGCCTTGTTAGAAAGGGTTGTGCTAATTTAAACTTGTTGATCTTTACTAGTAAAAGTTTGAGAGGGCAAGGGGTTGGGGGCAGAATGAGCCCCAGAGCCATCGCAATTTGTCTGTCATCAGGCAAATACTGTTATTTATCACTTCTGTATTTTTACAGAAAACAGGTACGGAAGGGTTAAGTAATTTTTCTCGTGGTCATGTATAACAGCTGGGATTTGAACCAAGTATTTGATGCCAGAATTCCTATTCTTAACTGCTATATCAATTTCTTCTTTACATTGCCTTTTGCTTCTCTGAACATCCATTCTTAGTCTGATTGTCTGCTTCCCTCTAAAATATTGGGATTCCTGAGGTTTCTATGTTGGATCTTTCTTCTTCTAAAGATATATGTTCTTTTTAGATAATCGCAGCCAGAACTGTTGCGTCAATAAGAATCTTTATGGTAATAACCTTCAGATCTATAGCTTCATCTCTTCCTTACAGTAGATTTATATTTTCACTTGCCTACCCAGAAAAATTCCCTGGATAGCCCTGGATTTTTTTTAAAGAAAAATTTAAATTTATCTAATATTCATTATCTTTTCTCAAAACTTTCTTTTCCTACTTTTCTGTTTCCATTTTTGTTTGAATGGTTTGCTTATTTTCCATCATCATTCACCCAGTTCTTGCCATCAAAGATCAAAATCTGATGGCTACTAGAATAGCCTTTTCTCTTTCTGTAAAATGTAGAGATTAGATTATTATGTTTCAGCCATCCATTCTTGTGACTGTATCAGGAGCTTATTGTCATGTTTCATCTGTGAACTCTTACATTTCAACATCCCCACTCTCTGACAATTTCTTAATTCTCTCAGTTCTCTCATTCCTTAATCCCTATTGATTTTTTCCCACATTATTAAAACTTATTTACATTAACCATTTTTCTATATATATATAATCCCATTAAAGAGATAATTTATAAAAGTGGCTAAGAATATACTTTGGGTAGATAATCTTTTACCTCCAGCCATGATGGGATACTTGGTATTGGTTTTTACCCTCGTGTCCTACACAGTTATAAAACTGGACAAAATATGCAAGGCAGTTCTTTATCTATTGATTAATTGATTTCAGAGAGAGGAAGGAAGAGGGAAAGAGATAGAAACATCAACGATGAGAGAAAATTATCAATCGGCTGCCTCCTGCACTCCCCCTGCTGGGGATCAAGCCCGCAACCCGGGCATGTGCCCTGACATGGAATTGAAACGCATTCTCCTGGGTCATAGGTTGATGCTCAACTACTGAGCCATGCTGGCCGGGCGTTATTGAAGATCTTAAAAGCAGTTTCTACTGGCTGTGACATAGGCATTCAAAAGTCACCCTCTGTCTTCTGAAGCTTTTTCTGAATGTCAGAGGCACTTTGTGCAATGAAGGACATGTTCACAGCCTTTAAATTCTCAGGGGCCCTTGGTCCACATCAGTATATTGGCGATAGGCCTCAAAGATCTGTTCTGAGAATTCTGAAGGATTCTCATCTGGTCATTGCTTTAGCTGCTGGACTTTATTGAAATTCCTCTGTTTGGGCATTCCCTTCCTTAATTCCACTAGGATACATTCTTGGTAATGCTCAAGTTTGGTCCCTATTGTAGACATTCCATCATGGATTGGTAGTGGGGATGGCAACTGAAGCCTCTGCCCATGCTGGGTTCTGGGGTGTCTCATTGTGAAGGCAGTTAACCTCTTCTCTGGCCTTATTTAAGACAACCCTTCCTTCCTCAGCCATGAGGAGGGTATTAAATGTTGGATGTCTATCCAATTAGGGTTATGCGAGGTGAAGGCTTTCTGTCTTTATTGTATTTGCCCTGCAGGCAGGCATATTATTCTTCCAATTAAAAAGGTATGCAGTCAAAAAGGGAGTGTACATCCAGACCGTCCCTGCCTGTTGTCCATTGACATCAAGTCCTATTGGCACCTGTCTTAATGGGAATTGCCCTGTCTGGATTGGAGGAAACTCCTAACCAAATCTAGTACCCATTTGGGTGTAGGAGGGGGAGGCCACTCCCAGGACCTAGAGAGCCTTCTCCCGCTGGAGGTTATGGAGGAGGAGCTGCACTGCACCCCCACCATGGTGGTGGAGCCGAGGCAGCCATGGGCTTCACGCCGGAGTAAGAATGTGTCAGCCTCATTCTCAGGTGACTCCAGCAAAACTGGCCTAACTAGCTTACCTGTTCACTGTACCATAATTTTACATTTCATTTGAGCAGGCTTATTTTGATATAAAGCATAAATGCTTCTACATAAGGGATTTTATCCCATTTTCCCCTCTCTTTTACAAAATAACTCATCCTGCAAAATGGTAGTATAATTTAAGGACCCATTTTCTGGCAAATGTTTGCCTGATCCTAAATTATATTGTGGTCATGCCAAATTGCAAAGGAAGAGCATTCTCTTTCTCCTCACTGATTCATAGCTAAACATGGCCCAGTTTTGTAAGATGCACCCAGGGGCTGGATTGGGGGACCAAGTTAGACATATTGTTCCCCATGGCAATATCTTTTCTCACAATTACTTTCCACAGACCTTCTACCACTTCCTTAGTCCTTAGTTGTATCTTTTTCTGTCCAGAGTTTACTAACATTTATTAGAACAAAACTACCATCCTTGATTCCTTCAAAAACTGTATTTTCAAACCTTATATACTTCTAAAGTCTGTCTGGTGACAAGTTAGACACAATAATTAAGACAGTAGGGTCAGGTGGCTCAAACTTCCTGCTCTGCCTGGGATCCTGATTATTATTCCCTCAAAGTGAATGAACACAAGATCCACTCAATGTGGTCCAGATGAGGTGAACAGCTTCCTTGATTTAGGCCAGCTCAATATTGAACATCCAGCTCCTTTAGGGTCTGCTGAAATGCAGTCGAAATTTGCCCCCCTTTCCACATGATGAGACACAGACTCAACAAATTACAGATACAGTTCTAGTAACCAATCCTAGTTGCTAAT